CACATGATGAATGCTAACACTCACCTGATGAATGCTAACACTCACCTGATGAATGCTAACACTCACCTGATGAATGCTAACACTCACCTGATGAATGCTAACACTCACCTGATGAACGCTAACACTCACCTGATGAATGCTAACTCTCACCTGTTGAACGCTAACACTCACCTGATGAACGCTAACACTCACCTGATGAACGCTAACACTCACCTGATGAATGCTAACTCTCACCTGTTGAACGCTAACACTCACCTGATGAATGATAATCTTGATCTGATGAATGATAATCCTGATAATTGCTCACCTGTTGAATGCTAACATTAACCTGAGGTAAACAAGCCTGGTAAGCAGCGGGTCACCGACCTGTGTGGGGTGTTTATCCGGAGCACACCGGTGAGTCTGGGCAGAGGACTGGGCACATCCAGCTGGTTTCCGGACCAGGAAATGTGACAGTTGCAGAAATATTTCAGATAGTTATAAATCCCGGACGCCACGGCCACCCCGGTGCTGCCAGTGGCCACGATCTTACTGTTTTTGGTGGACCTGAGCTCACACACATCCAGGAGTTCATTAGACAGGCTTCTGTTGACCGACACGATAAACTCTGAGGATCTGTTCCCCAGAAGCCGTTTCAGCAGCCCGGACACGGCTCGAGCTTGTGCCTTGTCGCTAGCTCTCGGTCTGATGCGGTCCAAACTCGGAAACTTACAGTGTACACCTACAAGCAGGCAGATGAGAACCAGAACCAGAGAACAGATCCTCCTCTGGGACATTTTGAAAGTTTTGTTCAGACGAAGGAACCAGGTTTAAAAACAAGTGAAATTCTTTATTTGTTGATAACCGAGAGGCGCTGCTTGACTGACAGCCTGGTGACCAATCAGAGAAAGAAGGGCTGCCTCTTTAAAGTTCTCAGCCAATGAGAGCACAGCGTTTCTTTGATGGCTTCACACGTGATCAATTTTCATATGATGTTTTAGGTACATCTTATTCCTTCCTTCTTTTTCTTTTCTTTTTTTGTAGTTGATTTCTTCTGACTATGTGACAAATACAAAAATCTGAGAATTAGGCTTAATGAACATGTTTACTGACAATGTCCAAATGAAATTCACCAGATATCTGTCACACCTGCTTTTTAAACTATTTTGTTCTTTTGAAGTATTTAAATAAAAAGTCAACATTGATTCATTCATACAAATAGAGCATTTTTTTCAGGGAGATGAGGAACAACATGACATGTAGCAGGGAAGGGACGAGTCTTTTTAAATATGCTGATGTCATGGCCCTGGTAGCCCACATGGACACCATTGATATATATTACTAATATATAATATATATCTATATTATATTATATTAATATATATATAATGTATATAGTAATATATATCAATGATGGATACACTCACCCAGTATCAACTGGCTGTTGATGACCTGGTCACAACACATGGTGAGAAATCACTTGAACTCAATATTACAAAGGCAAAGGAGTTGTGCTGTATGAGTGGCAACCACTTCACAGCTTTGCAAGCCTCTGATCATCCAGAGAAAGGACGGTTGATAAAGTAGAGTCCTTTAAATAATTAGGGACACAGATGGACAGTTTGTCTTTCCAAACTCACTCCAATGTGATCCACAAAAAAGCTCTCCAGGGCCTACATCTTCTCAGAAGGTTAAGAAGTTCTATTCTATTCTCTCCATCAATATCACATCTTGGTATAACTTTCTCACTGGTGAACAGGAGACAAAACCATCACGCATAACATATCAAGCCAGTAAAATAATTGGTTTGACACAAACTCCACTGTCCCATCTGTATGAGTGCGCTGTGGTTAGAAAAGCCATCCTATCACAGAGGAACCCTCACATACCCTCCATCACTCAGTTTCCTTCCATCAGGAAGGAGATACAAAGTACAACTGGCTAAGAAAGCAACACACAAAGTCATTTATTTCCCTCATCAAAAGAATTTGTTTATGTCATTTTGAATTTGTTTATGTTTTATTGTGTAAATATTACTTTGGAATGTTTTATATGAGTGTATGGAGCCCTGTCGAAGACAAATTTAACCTTTGTGTCAGACAAATAAAGCTTTCTATTCTATTCTATTCTAATGATACGTTTTTTTGTTTTGTTTTGGTAAAAATATAGAATAGATGGTATTATATTTAGACCCCAGAAGTCAAAAGTGAATGATTTGCAGAGTGACACAACGGAGATCAAAAGCACGTTTAACAAATTTATTTGTAAAGCAATGAACGGGGAAGTGGGTACGGGTTTCAGGAACATCTGTCTGTGATGGAGAGGAGAGAGCAAGGTAAGTATCCAGGTAGGTGACAGGTAAGTTATGGTGTCTCTTTTTATGAAGATAAAGGAGGCACTTACGATGACTTGGTGCGAGGAGGAGCGCTTGGATCCAGGTATTTACATCCAGCGTGATATTTACAGGTGCCGTGTAGATATTTACAGTGATTCTGTGGCACAGGATATGAGGAGTGTTTACCAGGGACCAGGAGCCAGAGACCAGAGACCTTCTTCACAGGAGTTTTGATGCAGAGCCAGGTCACCACAAGGAGCGGAGGCAAGGACAACGAACAGGTGAGTGGTTCTACTGTAAACAGAAAACAACACAGGGATTAATAACTTCTAGAAAAGGACTCACAAAAGCCAGAAAGAGTCCTACCCAGTAACTCTTTTGTTCCAGCGCGGTCCTGGTGAGCAGCTTTAATGCAGTGATCTTCAGGCTTCTGATTGGACACACCTGTGGAAGTAAATAGTGACAGCAGCTGGAGGAAGAGCAGTAGAGGAATAACCTCTACAGTTGGTAAGGATGCAGATAGAATTTTCTAAAATACAAACCTGGTTTAAACTTAATAAATCATCAATAAATTTAGACAAGACTAATTACATGATATTCAGAAAGAAAACTCTCACTGTTCCATTTCCATCCATTCCAATTCCATTCTGTAATTTACGGTGTATAAATGTATATAAATATGCATTTGTGTTTATGTATATGTGCATTGGTATGTATACATTACTGTTTATCACATGTGTATATTGTGGTGTTGTTTTTGTTTGTTATTTTTTATTTATCTTTCATTATTCTTCTCAGCCTCTCCTGTATTGAGCTGCAGTAATGTGCAAATTTCCCCACTGTGGGATCAAAAAAGTTTTATCTCATCTCATCTCATCTCATCTTAGAGTTGATGGTGTTGAGATCTGTAGTCAGTGAGGTGAAGTTTTTGGGTGTCATTGTTGATGAAAAGTTGAAATGGAGAGCTCTTATAAATCATGTAAGAACAAAAATAGCTAAATCCATTGCAGTATTGCACAACGTAAAGAACTTATTTAATGATAAAACTATATATAATGCAATAATAGTTCCACACTTAATCTATTGTATTGATGTTAGTTCACTATATATTGTTAGTTCGCTACTTATACATAAAAGGCTATATAGCGCCAACTCTAAATAGCCTTACTATATATGTATTAGCTCAGCGTTAGCGCAACAAACAAGCTAAACTGAGGTCCTCCATCCATATTTTCAGTTACAGGCTGAGTCATTTTTGTGTTCCCCTCTCTGTCATGTGGATGGAGGACCTCAGTGACGAGAGGAGAATGTGTAGCGCTGAGCTTCATATATATGGTGATAGCATCGGGGCTAACACTAAAGCTAACGGGCTAAGCTGAGGTTCTTCTTCCATGAAGGTTGTGCAAGGAGGCCCCTGAGACAGTCCAGCACGTAACAGCAGGGTGCAAGATGCTGGCAGGGAAAGCATACATG